TTATGTGCCGTCAAGTCGGACCCGACTCATAGCGACCCCTCCTTGGGTTTCTGAGGCAGTATCACTACGGAAGTAGATTGCCCAACCTTCCTTCCGAGGAGAGGTTTGTGGGTAATTAGAACCTAAATTCTCTGACTCCAGTGTTCTTTTCCAACTTCATGCTAAATTCTAGTAAATCAGAGGGGCCTTCTCTGTAAGCATACCCAAGTGTCCAAAACAAAGGTGAGATTTACTTATGGTGCAGCAATCTAAAATATTCCATGCTTACAAATATATATATTTAAGAACCTTATCCAAGGGTTTAAGGGCAAGACTGCCTCCATGCAGAATTGGTATTTGCTTCTTCTTTGACCCAAAGCAAGAGGAACCAAACCAAACTCACTGCCATCAAGTCGTTTGTGATTCATAGCGAACCCTCCTTGGGTTTCCGAGGTGTTTATCTCTATGGAAGTGCATTGCCCAACCTTCCTTACGAGGAGTGGCTGGTGGGTTTGAACCTCCAGCCTTCTGGTTAGCAGTCAAGTGCCTTAGGCACCAAGCCACCAGAGCTCCCAAAAGCAGGAGGAGGAGTCTGAAAAGTAAAAGTCAGCAGGGTACTTTCACCTCACCCAGTAGATAGCTGGTCATTGGTGAGAGTCTAACTCTCCAAAGAAACAGGATGTACACTCCTCAAGAAAATTTCCTGGCAAATTAGCTTCTTTGAGAACACCTGTTCTTGGCCATTCAAGACCCTTTGCAAATTCAACTGAAAAATCATAAAGCAGGACTATGACCAAATGGCACATTGGACAGGGTTTCTCCTGGGGGTGAGGGATGGAGAGGAAAAAGACATACTTGGAGCAATGTCTGAAGAAAGCAGGGCTGGGAGTGGGAAGGTGAAGGTGCCTAACAAGATTAATGGATTAGGGCTGCAGGAAACATGACTGCATTTGGGGATAGAAAATCCACTAACCGTTAGTTTACTTCTCATAAGGCAGCTATTTTCAAGACCCCTTTCTTTACCCTCTTCCCTCTACTATTATCAAAAGTCTCACCTCTAACACAAAACCAAATCCTAACACCTACACATTTTTTCCCTTCATGCCATGGTACAAATATCCAATTATGTTTGATAAGCTCAATCAAGAACATGGAACCCACTGTTTCCTCTTTTTTTGGCAAACAAGTCATCTTGGTTTCATTTACCAAAACCTGTTGTTATTGTTGAAGTGGAGTTGATTTCAACTCATGGCGACCCCATTTGGACAAAGTAGTACTGCTCTATAGAATGTTCAAGGTTGTGACCTATTGGAAGCAGATCACCAGGCCTGTATTCCAAGGTGCTCTAGGTAGGTTCAAACCACCAACCTTTTGGCTAGTAGTTGAGCATCTAACTGTTTGCACCAATCCTGGAGGCTTATTAACATTTCATTTTGCTGAGTGAATTCCTCACTTCTTCCTTTCCCATCTGATCTTCAGGTCAAGAGCCATTTTTGTGTCTTCTTGTTGAAGGCCCCATACTTACACCCAGCCAGGACTTTGAGTGCCAACTGGTAACCCACGTGAGCTGGGTAACCAGCTGCACTTTTTGCATGGCTGCTGTATCCCCAAATCAAACTAATCCAGCCAGTGTACTGTTTTTATTTCAGGCTTCTCAAAGAGCATCTTGGAGAAAAAGAAGTTGAGCTGGCACTCATCTTTGATTCAGTGGTGGAGGCTGACCTGGCGAATTATACCTGCCATGTAGAAAACCGAAATGGACGGAAACATGCCAGCGTTCTGCTGCGTAAAAAGGGTATTTACTTTTCACTGTGGTTTGTTTAGCTACCAAGAACTATTGAAGTAAAGATGGATATGTTTCCTGGCCTTAGTTTATCATTTAGTATGAACTTCTACTGTTGTTGTTGTTATGTGCCATCGAGTCCGACCCGATTCATAGCGACTCCTCCTTGGGTTTCTGAGGCAGTATCACTACGGAAGTAGATTTCCTCCTCTTCCTTCCAAGGAGTGGCTGGTGAGTTTGAACCGCCAGCCTTCTGGTTAGCAGTCAAGTGCCATAGGCACTATGCTACCAGAGCTCCTAAACTTCTATTAGCCCTCTTTTTTGTTTTGTTTTTTTAAGAGGAAATTTCTCCCTTGCTATGGATATTAGTATAATATGCTTATGAACTTTAATGTCATTAGGAAGTAGATAAATGAGATGGAATATTGTTATGTTTTAAATTAAGTGACATAAAATGTATTTGATTAAAAGTGTTACATAAAATTTGATAAATACTGGCATCTTTTATTTTCTTCATATTTCATCTTCTTATATTTTATTTTGTTTAAATGAAATGCAAGACATTTTACTGTAGTTGTTGTTGTTATGTGCCATCAGGTCGGATCCGACTCATAGTGACCCCTCCTTGGATTTCCAAGGCTGTATCACTACAGAAGTAGATTGCCCAACCTTCCTTCCGAGGAGGAAGGGTTTGAACCGCCAGCCTTCTGGTTAGCAGTCAAGTGCTTTAGGGACTACGCCAAGAGATTTTACTGTTGAATCAGAATCAAAGATCTTTTTTATTCCCTAATAAATAATGACTGTTGTTGTTGTTATGTGCCATCAAGTCAGACCCAACTCATAGCGACCCCTCCTTGGGTTTCTGAGGCAGTATCACTGTGGAAGTAGATTGCCCCATCTTCCTTCCGAGGAGTGGCTGGTGGGTTTGAACCACCAGCCTTCTGGTTAGCAGTCAGATGCCTTAGGCACTATGCTATCAGAGCTCCCAAAATAATGACTAGTATTATATAATATTCTTACAAATGTTATCATATACATATAAGACTATTTCATGATGTAAGTTATCATATACATAGATTATAAGACTATTTCATGATATAACCCCATGTTAAGAGACCTTTAGCAGGTATATATAGTTATAACTAATTTAGTATCTATGAGATCATTCTCTAACATTGGTTCCAGATGAGGTGGAAATTATGTATAATGTGGAAACAAAAGAAATCCTAAATTTACAGATAAAGAAGATAAAAGCAGATAAAGAACAATAACCTTAGCAGCTAGAGCAGCTTCTGAGATTGGTTGTCACTTTGCCATGATTCTTGATCATGGCAGAAGGCTGAATCCTTTATATCACATGTCCATCTGGTAAATGTAGCAGAATAAATGTTCTCAATCAGTGTTCCTGTTGCCTAGACTATAGAGCAGTACGACAGATTCAGTCAGCAAGGTCACTAGCTGTCAGAGGTGTTTGAGTTATGGCAGGTATGGTATGTGCCCACCCCTTGAAGCAGAGCACCACTGAGCAATTTCTAGTAACTTGGTAAAGGCCCAACATCCTTCCTCAAACAGAGTAGACACAGAGGTGTAGCGAGGTGAGGAAAGAAGGGGACATTTGCCCAGAAGTCCACAGGAGTGCCAGACTAGACATAGAATGACATTCCATTCTGAGGTGCCACAAATATGAAATACACCAGACTGAGGCAGCTGAAGGAGGGGGGGCGTTTCTGCTCATGCGTTCTGCTATCACAAGCATAGCTGCTTATCAATGTCTATTCATCTTGAAATTGGTGGGAGGGTTCAATTTAGCGATTGCTCCTGGGAGCTAGAATTGGGGAAGGGGACACAATGTAGAGATTTCTCCTGAGCACTCGTTACCTGCGCTATGCCCTTGCATGATTTCAGTGCTTGCCATAGGTGTTATTTTTGGTGAATAAGCCTCTGCTTTTTGTACCTCCTGGCCAGGATGGAATTTCTATTTTCCAGCCAACCTTAATACTTGACCTTGAAAGCAGCTCTAGGAAAAGCAGGGAAATGTCATTATTATGAGAATAATGCCTTTATCTCTCTAGTGCCATTTCTTATTCTGTTGGGCTTAATTTCATATTAAAGTAATAGAGTTTAAGTTTAAAGGAGTCTAATGTGGAAAGTGAAGTAAGGACGTCTTTCCTTTGGAGTCGGACCTTTTAGGCCTTTATCACATCCCAACTCACTGCCGTCAAGTCGATCCTGACTGATAGCAACCCCTCCTTGGGTTTCCGAGGTGGTATCACTACGGAAGTAAATTGCACAACCTTCCTTCTGAGGAGTGGCTGGTGGGTTTGAACTGCCAGCCTTCTGGATAGTAGTCAAATGCCTTAGACACTGTGCCACCAGAGCTCCTCTTAGTGTTTTGAGTTTCATATGGAAAGCAAAGTAAGGGCGTCTTTCCTTTGGATTTGGACCTTTTAGGCCTTTATCACATTATATATAGTCTGGTCTCAGTGGCTGTAGTGCTCCCACCTAGAATACAAGCATGGCTTGGTCTATGAAACAATAACTTCCTGATGTGCTGTAAGTCAAATATTTCAATGGTCTAAGTGATCATTAAAGGAATTCTGGTGGCATAGCGCCTAAGGAGGAGCTCTAGTGGTGCAGCGCTAACCAGACTGCTAACCAGAAGGCTGGCTGTTCAAACCCTCCAGCCACTCCTCAGAAGGAAGGTTGGGCAATCTGCTTCCATAGTGACACCACCTCAGAAACCCAAGGAAGGGTCTCTGTGAGTCAGATCCGACTCGATGCCAGTGCATTCCGTTGCATTAGCACCTAAGGCATTTGACTGCTAACCAGAAGGTTGATGGCTCAAAGCCACCATTCACTCCAAGGAAGGAAGATGGGGCAATCTACTTCTGTAAAGATTTACCACCTCAGAAACCCAATGGAGGTTGCTGTGCGTCATAATCAACTTGATGGCAATGAGGGTTTTTTTCGTTTTTAAGTGATTATTATGGAGAAAAAAAAAGTGATAAATCCTTCTATAAAGTGAAAAGATCTTTTGTAAAATAAAACTCCTAATATATCCAATTATCAGGTTTTCTAAATGCTTGACGCTCGTTATCCATGTACTTTCTACCTGCACCTGCCCGCTTTCTCACTCCCCGAGAAGCTGTTTTGATAATCATTTCTGCTTCTCTAACATACTCCCTCACCGACAAAAAAAGAGCTGTGTCACTGAATCTCTTTTATTGCCAGTGCTGCTGCTCCGCCCTGGCTCCCAAAGTGTATAAGAAGTCCTAAGGTGGGATCTCCTAAACTGCCTCCCAATTTATGACTCAGAGAAACAAGTTCATTATATCTAGACATCTGCAACCTTCCTTCTCTTCAGTCACTTGGCTTCAGCTGCTGTTTTGACCCTTTCTATAGTATCTGATCTTTGTGTTCACAGTAGAGAAAGAGTTGGGTCAGACTAAGGAGGTTAAAAAGAACTATGCTTGTGCTTTGGATGCCTAGAAAAAGTCACAACCCCATAACTATTTGTTGTTTGGGCTAAAGCAATCCTTGTGAAGCATATACAAGACTTAGCCCAAATAAAATGACTTTCAACCTCTCAGTCAGGAAATGTCCCTAGAAGTATAGATCCTGCTGAGATGGAAAATGGCAGTTGAAAACAGAAGTCAGGAAAGAAGCCAGGTGTCATTTGGGTGATGGCAATTCTGCCTTCTGATTATAGGGTAGATGTTTCCCGTTTGATGTGATTGCCTGGACTGAATCAAAGAAAAAGAATACTGGTTGAGTCATAGGGCCTAGGTCCACAGTTTTTAACTTAAACAGCCATCATTAAGTAATATCTTTCAGAGGCTTTTTTTTTCTTAATAAAATGGACCCCAGCACCACAAAGGTGCTTTTTACATCACAATTTTCTTCCATAAATTGACTACCAAAAAAGGATCTGCTACTTGAGAGTGCAGATTGTTCCTGCTACTGAAGTTTTTCATCTACCTAATAGCAACTCTACTCTGTAAATAACATAGAAATTGCTGGAAAATTCCCATTTGGTGACTTTGAAAACAGTTGAAAGCTGTTCTGACCAGAGAGAAAGAGAGAGACCAAAAAAATTACAACATAAAATGAACATCTAAGAACAGGGAAAAAAGAAAAATCATGTTGAATCAAGCCAATCAAAGTCCTAAGATGAAAAGGAAGTCAGTTTTCAGTGTTGGGGGGTGGGTATTGCTCTGTCAACTCAATACTGGCTTTTAAGAGTATATCACTGAAATAAGATTTTGAGAAAACAAGCAACGATTGTGATATTCCAGCCTCACAGAGGTCTCCTGACCAAACCTGCCTTATTACCGCCTACACAGAGGCAGGTAGTGGTTCTTGGGGAGCCACATAGGCAGAGCTAATATGTGATAGGATTTTTTTTACCTGAAATTTTGTAGCTTAATTTTCACAATGACCACCTCTTGTAGCAGGTGGGAAAAAGAAAGATTCCAAATCCCTATCCCTACTCATAGGAGCTCTGGTGGTATAGTGTCTAAGAAGGCATTTGATTGCTAACCAGAAGGCTGGCTGTTCAAACCAACTAGCCGCTCCTTGGAAGGAGAGATACTGCCTTGGAAACCCAAGGAGGGGTTGCTATGAGTTTGATCTGACTCCATGGCAGTCAGGTGCTTTTTTTTTTTTTTGGATTCCCTACTCCTTATGTGTCTCCTTATAATGTTCCTTATTGACATATTTTTCTATCCTTCTCCCTCTCTCCTTATTCAGAAAATGACATTTATTTGAGTTTCTTACATTTCCACTCCATGGCTCTCCTGATTAGTCATCCCCTCTCTGGACACCATCATCTTCTCTTTCAGTCCACCTCCTTTCCAAGACCAAATTCCCTCTCTCTCCACAAAACTTAATGCTCATCTTATGCGGGACTCCAGGGAGCCTTTCCTTCCTCCTTGGCTTCCGTTACAGGATTTTCCAATAACCTCCACTAGAGTGTCAGAAATCTGCATAGCCATTTCATTCAGCTGAATTGTAGTTTATCTTCTTCCCTTGGATCTGAAAGGAAGGAAGGAGTCTAAATTCATTGCAAGTCATATATTCTTGGGAAGCATCATCAACACTTCTCTGGTGGGGGAACAAAACAAAAACACAAAACCCACTGCTATCAAGTCAGTTCTGACTCACAGCAACCCTATAGGACAGAGTGGAACTGCCCCCATAGGGTTTCCAAGGCTATAAATCTTTATGGAAGCAGACTGCTTTATCTTTCTCCAATGGAGTGGCTGGTGGGTTCGAACTGCTGACCTTTTCATTAGCAGCCCAATGCTTTAACCAGTACATCACCAGAACTCCTCACATAGGGGAAAAGGAAGAGGATTTACTGTTGTTACTTTCCAGGCTAGAGCTTATAAAGCTATGATGTAATACAAAGAGCTTTGATTTTGAAGGTAGAAGACCTGGGCTCATTTCTCATCTTGGCCACTTCTTAGGTGTAAGATCTTGGGTAAGTGAATTAAGCTACTGATTCTTTGTCTATAAATATGGACTAATATTCTTGTTCTAAAGGATTATTTGGAGAAAAGATAGACTAGTTGAAATATGTATATTTCAACTAAATATATATAATTTAAAATATATATGTTTATCTTTATTATGAACTGTAAAGTACTAAACAGATGCTAATTATTATATTGAGCCTGACTAATTTTCTTAATGAATAAGCTCATAGAAAGGTGAGGGACATCTCCAGGGAAAAGTTGGCTCTCTGGTTGTCAAGAGACTTCAGGTGGGGCAGCCCATCATGGCCAAAAATTTGATTTTGACAGTACCCCAGAAGTGACCCATTTAGGGAGATTGATGCCAACCAAACTCACAAGCAACTGAGGTACAATCTAGAGTGCAATTCCCTTTGCCAGTTTCTAGTTACATGGTAAATAGAATTAGTTTTCTAAAGGGGAAAAAAACAGTCTATTGGTAATTAAGGAATTAGGTTAAAGGGAGATTAGCTAATCTTGTAGACAATTGCATTAATACCTTATTGAGACCAAGAAATGTCCCTGTCCCACAGTGAAAAATATGTCTCTGGTTTGGTGTCTTCCCAGACTCAGCATTTCTCCCACACATATTGCTAAACTCTTAATTCTAGATCCTCCACTGACTTCCCATTTTCCTAAATCCCATGATGCCATCCCTTTTTTTTGATGATACATTTTTACTGGGAGCTCTGGTAGCATAGTGCCTAAGGCACTTGACTGCTAACCAGAAGGCTGGCGGTTCAAATTCACCAGCCACTCCTCGGAAGAAAGATGGGGCAATCTACTTCTGTAGTGATACTGCCTCGGAAACCATGATACTGCCTCAGAAACCATGATACCATGCCCTTTTTTGATGATACATTTTTAGATTTGTTAAAATCACTAATTAAACTACAGGCAAGTCATTGAGCCTGGGAAACATTTTTCATCCCATCATGTGTTGATTGAATTGTTCCAGTCCTCAGAGTTCTAGGGGTGCTCCCACTGGAACAGCCTATGGCTGCTATCAGGTAGCCAGTGTTAGCTTAATAGGCTAAGTGTTTAGCTTTGATTCCTCATTCTCTTTTAGCCCCGCTAGGCATATTATATCACATACATATTATAGTCATTTATTCAAATAAGTAGGGAAAATGGATAAACTAATTTCCCCTGCTTACTTTGTCTTGGATTATGTCCTACTGAGGTTAAATGAAACAGTTAAATCCTGCAAGCTCATTCGATTTTATTTGATTCTGAGAGTAATTTGTTCCCCTGTAGAAGAATAGGGCCTATGGCCTGAGATATAAGGAATGATAATCTTGCTAAGCCAATGAGACAATTTAAGAGAAAAAACAAAATTTTGGCCTTGGACTCAGAATAAGACAAACTTAAAAAAAAAAAAAAAAAGTCACTGCCATCGACTAGATTCAACTCATAACAACCCGATAGGACAGAGTAGAACTGCCCCCATAGGGTTTCCAAGGCTGTCAATCTTTACAGAAGCAGACTGCCTCAGCTTTCTCCCACGCGGTTGCTGATGGGTTCAAACCACCCACCTTTGGGTTATAGCAGCCAAATGCCTAAACCGTTATGCCATCAGAGTGCCACAAATCTAGTAGTTCCCAGAAATACACTTAAAGCAATAGTATATATGTGAAAATCTATGTGTATGCAAAATGAATTGCATTTCAGACGATTCCTTTTCAGATGGATTTACCACTTTCAATAGTATATTACATCGATGTTCAGAGGAGAATAAGTTTTACAAAAATTTTATTTATGCAGGTTTATCAAGACCAAAGGTATTATGTTAAACAAGAAACTTTTTGAGAAATGGCAGGATGGGTAGTACATTTCAGAGATTATAAATACTGGAAGATCCCAAGTGTTCCTGATTTAATTACCATTTCCTGTTGATTCTATTTGTTCCAGATTTAATCTACAAAATTGAGCTTGCAGGGGGCCTGGGAGCAATCTTCCTCCTCCTTGTATTGCTAGTGGTTGTGTACAAATGCTACAACATCGAATTGATGCTCTTCTACCGACAGCATTTTGGAGGTGATGAAACTACCGATGGTAAGCTGTCTCCTATTGTTCAAATCCAATTAAAAGACACGAGGTTATGACTATGTAAGAGAATATGCTTATTCTTAGAAAATACACACAGTTTAGGGGTAAAGGACTACGACATATTCAAGTGACCCTCAAATGGTTCAGAAAAAAAATCGCATCTCTCTAATCAAGAAAGAGCAAAGAAAAGAACATATTAACAAACATTAATCTGGATAAAGGATATATGGGTGTTCTTTGAAATATTTTTTATAATATCCCTGTGTCTTTGAAATTATTTCCAAATACAGTTTTTAACAAGGATACATTATTAGTTGGTCAGAAGATAAAATGATTGCTGTTAAAGCTCTTTCCCTTAGTAAGAAACAAATTAAGAACCAATTCAATTTTTTTCCTCCAGAAAATTCAGATTTAAGTGCAAATATATTTTAGCTATTCCTGGCATTGAGAAAATAAATCAGTCATGCAAGAAACTGGTTAAAATTCATAGTGATGCTCCTTTTAAAGTTCAAAGGACATCTGGACCCACATATTTTGGATAATTATAGCACCATTCTCAAAGGTGGCCTCTACGGACAGAAATCCAGAATGTGGCTTCTAATTTTCATAGGTTTGCCACTTAGAACCTTTGAAATTCTTATGAATGAAATATCAATAAAGCATTGTCCTGACCTTGTTTCCTTGCATATTCACAACGTTTTGATGTTTTCCAAGAGAACAACTTACCATATACACAATTAATACCAATAAGAAATCATGACATGCTGCTCCTTGTGCATAGAATCATCACCCACAAGCTACTGTAAGCCTTGGTGTCATGGGTCTGGATTGCCTTGGGTAAATCAAGATAAAAACAAAGTCCATTGTAACTTGTTACTTTAAAAAGGCAAATTTAAACATGATCTTTCATTGTGTTGAAATCATGATTGTTAGAACATTTTTACTTTTTTGTCAGTCTTGTTTCAAAAGAAAGAGGTGTATGATTATGTTTTATTTTTGTAGTGATAGATAAAAGACAGAGGGGTGACTGTCCTGTCAAAATTTCTGAGGAATCTTTTATTTAGGTCTTATTGTTGCTATTATGTAAACAATGACATGACTTTGATGTTATATTGACTTTCATGTTATCACAGTAAATTAGAGAAATGCTGTTTGTTGAGTCCATGTGCATGCTCATTTTCAAAGCAGTGCATTTGCCTAACCCTTATAACAGCCTGTTTAAAAGTATTATAAATGCTTATTCTGACATATGCTCAAAATGAGAAATTAGGGCCAGTTCCAACCATAATTCCATACTCTGACAAGCGTATTGAATATGAAAATGTAGTCAGTTATACTCAGTTCCTATATAAAACAGTTAATATGTTTTAAAACATGACATCTGTACACATAAAATAAGTAGATGAAATTGAGGAAAGAGTCACTGTTTCCCAGATGCCAACAAGTGGCTAAAGCACCCAAAGGAGAATGTAAATGCTGCAGCATCAATGCAAAAGAACATGAAAAGGAAGCTTCTATGATTAATTTGTTTTGATTCAAGATTATAGACAAATTTTAAATAATCTCTATAAGAAATGACAGATTATTAAATTATTAAATTAATCTGCAATAATTAATTACTTTCCTCGCCCATACCGAACAACCTAGCCAAACTGATCAGTTTTAGTACATATTTGCAAGAAGAAGTACATGCTAATACCCTACAGTTCCTCGGGGCTCCAATATTCCATTTTACATCTGTGGCTCCAATGTGGCCCATGTGGTCAAAGGTATGGAGTGATCTAGAGCATTTCCATTACAGAATTATATATATTGGTTCAAGATCCATTGTCTAGGAGGAAAAACACAATGGGTGGTACTTCAAGGGTTTTCATAGGAAGGACAGTGTAAATTCTTACATGGAACCTTGGACATTAAGGAGCCAATCTCTGTACTAGCTGAATGGTATACTAAAAATTAGCAGGTATGTGGTGAAGACTAATCTTAACACCCTTTGAGAAACATCCAGTTGGATGAGTTTATATAGGCCCAAATTTTTCACACCTTCAATGAAATATTTTGGTATCTCATGGATACAACTTAATTTTATCCATATACTTTTTCTTTATGTTTTATGTCTGATCCATATCTATAGTGATATTTCCTGAACTTTCTTAAAAATGATTTGTTTGTAAAATAAAATCTACCCAACAAACTGACTTCTTAGCCATTTTTTTTTTCATTTCAACCCTCTATACAATGATTGCTTCATTTATTAAACCTTTCAGTTATTCCATCAATAAGTATTTAGTAAGCATTTACTATGTGGTAGGCTTGCAAGATGAATTTATATTATTTATCTGAATCACACACACACATACAGTTATTGAGTGTGTGAATCCCAGGCAATATAATAGGGAGTAGGGATACAATCAACAAGATACACAGTTTTCACACTTAAAAAGCTAAAGGTTTAGCACTATGTTTAGCATAGCCCCAGGAGAGCTGGGTTGTAAACATGAATGGCTTCCTGATGGTGAACAGGATTAAAATTAGATTTATAAGCACGGAAGGACAGGTGTGACAACAGGAAAATTCTTCCACAGATAGTTTGGCTCTCTTCTTGTTCTCATGACTCCTCCCTTCATTAGGATCAGAATACTTACGACGACCACTGTGCCAGTCCTCTTCTTTATAGTGTTCTGTCTGCTTTGTGCTCTATTTTCTGGTTCCTCAGATGAGCTTAGTCAGCATGATTTAGCACAGAGGAAGGCTCATGAGGCTTGCCTAGCAAACTGGTGTCGCTGAATTACTATTGGGTTTTAAAACAATTTCTAGGCCTCGCTGTTAACCTTATTTGCATCATGTTGTTGCTTTTGCTCTGTCCATCTTGCTCCTCTTTGTGAGCAACAGCTGTGGCTATTCATGAGGTTTTCTTGGCTGTCTCCATAAGGCTGGAGTGCACTTTTTTTTTTTTTTTTTTTTTAAACTGTGGCATCTGCGTCACTGCTGGCCTACGAGCTGGCATCCTACAGCTTCTGATACATCTGACATGGTGGCTTTGAGAACTCTCTTCCTGTCCTGGCCAGCCACCATGGACTCTTCAGCTTTATTTCTTCTTAAAGGGACATGACTGAAAATAGGGGGAAAAAATATCTAAAGATTACTGAGCTTCTAGAATTGTAGATAAAATTTATTTTCCAGATGGGGTGGATGTTAACAAATATAAAAAACATCCATGTTCTTTGCCATAACTTGATTTGGGATATGCAAATATAGCAATACTTTTCCAGAGAAAAGTCTTTTTGCATGAATGAACTGTAATATCAGGATATAAGTGGGAGCAAGGGAGGGTAGGATCAGGCATATGTGAGTTTAGGCATACTTGGACATAGGAGGACAAATAACTACAGTCAGGAGAAGCAGTGGGACAGGACTGGTCAGATGATAAAGGAGTCATGAAGCCACTCAGAGGAATAACTTATAGTAGAAGCTCAATAAATCATTGTTGAATGCATTAATAATAGTTGAATTTAGGGTGGTGTGTGAGATAGGAAAGGTATCAACATCAAAGCAAAGAAGGGTCTAGTTTGAGGCAGCAGCAGTATCCACCAAGAACACAAAAATATATTCTGCTCCTAGGAATGGAGCTGTCTGTCCTTTGGCCTATTTTATTCTTCCAGCTGTGTATCATTGGAGGCTCTGAGTCCCAGGTGTGTAATTATAGTAAGAGAACGTCAAGGGTCTGCAGGTGCATCCTGCTCTTGATTGGAACAGGGGCAGAGGTGATAGGATTACCAGGAGGTTCTTACATTAGCATAACTTATGAACATTCTCACTTCCAAGTGAAGTTTTATGCTCAGCAACAGAATGTGCCCCATTTCTAAGCCAAATGATCTCCTCAACTATCCAGGGCAGTCCTTCATGTGCATCTGCTTCTAGGCAACCAAGTAACCCAATCATGGTTTATGGAAGCCCTTTCCCGGCCAGAGGACATGCTAAAGAGCATTAACCCTTCCTTCTGGCTTTAGGCACTCCCTGTCTTTACATGAAAACCCAGAGTTCTTTCCATGTTGAGGTGGTGAAGGCTGGAATCTTATTAGAAGAATATAATACAACCTCAGAAATCTCTAGATGTCAAGGGTCCCACCTACTTCTACCATAGGGTATTCATATCTCTATATATATCTAATGTTTATTCCTCCTTCAGCAGGTAGAACCAAATCATTAATGGTGTAGGTAAGTGAGTGGCTACTTCATTCTACAAATTACCTTTTGGTTAAGTTTTAGCTATATTCGAATCAACTATTTTAATGGAAATGGTTGATGTGTTTTAGAAACAAATTATGAAATGTTTGAGTCTTTCAAAATTATTATTTATAGATAACTGAGTTTAGTAAGTATGAATAATGTCATGATTCTATGCTCATTACATTGACTTTTAAAAAGTAATTTTTTCTGTATATAAGGGAATTTTTCTTTCTTTTTTTTAAATTGTGCTTTACGTGCAAATTTACAGAGCAGAGTTTGTTTTACGTTCAACATTTCGTGTACATTAGGTTTCACTTCCCAATTACCATCCCCAACCCTACCCCACTCATCTCCCCTCACTGCCCAGTAACCCCAGCCCACCCCCTGTGCCCCTCATAGTTATGCACTCCTGTGTGTCCTGCATTTCCTCCATGTGAATTTTACCCCTGTGGTGCCCAGTGGCTGAGTGCTCCAAGGGATGAATCTCCATAGAGTATGTGGGTGCATCAATCTAGGTTGAGTGGTCTGCGTGTACATCTTATTTACTATTGGGCTGAGAGCCAGCCCCTGGGAGTGAGTTTTATTCCAGGCCCTAAGTGTATCCCAGGCTCATAGTATTGGGGGTCCCACCAGACTCCATCCAACCAGTAATTCTGGTCATTATTGTGTTTTTAGATTTTGTTCCACATTTTTCCTCTCTGTCAGTGTGGCCCTTTTTATTAAAAAAAAATTATGGGGACCGATACTTTGAGTTAGTAATATTTTTCAGAAAAAAATGCATATATACATAAACATACAT